GCCACTCCGAAGACCAAGAGGAGCTTCTTGGTTGGTTTTTTTGTTTGGGTTTTTCTTTTTTTTTTTTTTACACATGTAGTTATCCCCAAATATAATCCAATTTGAGTATAAATTACAGAGTTAAGGTTTGATAAACAGAGGTATGGAAATACATGTGTGCCTTGGCTGTGCTGTCAAACAGTGTGTTACCTTGGCTGGACTTTAGCACTAGGCAGAGCCAGAAAAGGAATCACATCTTCCCACTCCCACAGTCTACTGCCTCCACCAGGAAGCACTTCAACCACGCAAATACTGTGTTTTTCATATTCTCTCGTAAATAAGTTACTCTGAGAACGCTTCCTCCAAAAAGCACGCTCCAAACCTGTTCCATTCCTGTAATGAGTCAAAATACACTACGGTTGTCTTTTACTCCAAAACTTTTAATTAACTTACAGCCTGCAATGCATAAAAAGAACTGACATTCCCAAAAAGGGAGGCAAGGAAGGGAAATAAATTAAACTGCTGTAGTCCCCACAGAATTCAGTGGCGCATCACATGAGCGCTGAGAGCACTTACCCCTTTTGGTAACTGGAGACCGAGAAGCATGGAAAGCACAATCACGCGTCCTCAGGGAGCCGTGCTGGACAAGCGAGGTGTGTATTGCTACTGCAAGTTTCTAACAGCTCTAAGTGTCTAGTTTTCCAGACTCAGGGCTGAAATTTGAAACATTCTAATGCTGCAAACTAATTACAAGAAGAGCCAGGGGTCTCATCACAGCAAAGACTCGAAATAATGTGAAAGTCAGATATATTCAAGCTCTTGTAAGAAATGTGCAAGATTATATCAAAGACTGGTGTCAGCCTCACATCCATCATTGAAGTACATGGGAAGGAGGGCAATTTAAGCATTTTTTTTCCTCCCAACTCGACATCCCCATGCTTGCTGCACCGCCACAATACTCAGAGGTGCCCTCTGCTGTTGAGAATTAAAACCAAAAAGCATGAAAGTCTAGTCAAGTCGTAAAACCAAATAAAAAGACTCACACTCTGTCAAAATTTGCTGAAGACTGACAGTAGGAGTTTCTACAAACTCTACCTGCACCAACATTGTCCCTAGACAAATCTCCAGGAGCTCTGTGATATTTAACTTGCTTTAACCTCCACAAGCCCCAGGTTCCTGAGAGCAAGGGTGCCGTCTTCCCTGCGTTCCCTGCACCGGCATCACTGATGGCCAAGGCACACCAGCGCGAGGGCAGAGGGGAACCGGGGGATGTCACAGAAGAGCAGCAGCGCCGAGCAAGACGAGGAGCCAGGCTGCGGGCCGAAGAGCCACACCACTGCAGCACAGTCCTACACGCAAACAGAAGCTGCAAATCCTTATGCAACTGCTAAAGGAAAGCAGAGGTGAAGTTTACCAAAACACGCAACACGTCACACTGCTTTTCGGCAGCAAATTCAACTTAGGCAACCACCACCATCCACCAAATATCAGGACCAAGTCCTACGCATCATGCAAGAGCGGAAACTCGATGTGCGGCTGCCCCCATCATTCAGGATTTTGTCATCTACTGTGGCTCACAATCCTCCCAGCAGTGCCACCAGGTCACGCTGTCACCTCTCCCTCTTTACATTTCCTCCTGTGAAAGAGCAGAGTACGGGGGTTCACTCATCTAGGAGGAAGCTCACAGCAGCTGTTTAAATTTGCAGTGCATGAAAAAAGAGTCAGTAAACCACAGAAACTGCGTAACTGGTTGGCACAAAATAAGCTCCTTATTTCACTTAATTTCAAATGCAGATTTATTCCAATCTATGTGGTTGAATATGTGGCTATGAATGTAATCCCACATGATCAATTTAAGTAAAATAATTATCTTTTTTCTTTAGTGGGACAATCACGAAGACTTATAATTCAGGGTGTAACAAAACCATGGCTTCCTGAGTAATTTTAACTGAGAGGCATGTTTAAGCACAAACAATCACGCTGAACCCTGTCACGTAACCTAAGAGCTCCCAGGGCTAACTAGTCTTCACTAAACAGTCAGAATGGATGGCATTCAAGAGAATCAGTCAAAACTTTTAAACAGACAAAACTTGTTCTCATAGGCCTTGCTTATCTGAGGAAAGACGCACAGGGCACACGCAGTAGTCTACAAGAAGCAAAAAGTCTTGTAGTTAAAGTACTTCAGTACTTCACGGGACCACCTGTCTTACCTGTTTCCTATTCTAAGCTACTAATCACGTCACAACCTGGTGTTGCCACCCCACACTCTGCACCCTGACACAAAAATAGCAAAGTCAGGTTATATTTGCTTACTTGCTTCGTGCCACGCACTTGCAATTCCTATTATCAATAACACCACCACTATTTGAATGTTGATGTGGTCACAGACAACACCACCACAGACTAATTTAGCTGCACAGGCAGCAGTACAGGAAGCCAAAGAGAAAAAGAAATAAAGCTACAAGACTTGTAGCTGCATCCAGTGAATTAAAGTGACACATTGGTATCGCGAGACACGCTAATTGCTTTGCCTGTAAAACAGAAAAAAAGGCAATACAGCAGAGTCAGACTACTTCAAGGATATGCACACCAGTATAGTTTTCACACCCTAAAAATTTAAAGTACTGAATAAAACCAGTTCAGTTGCATAATATTCATTAGGTGTTCAACGACTGTGTTTCTGTCCTCTTTGATCTCTCTCTGCATCAGCAGCACGTCGAATCTCTGCGGCCGTCTTTCATGTTGTCCCAGACAACTTCTCAAGCCAAATCATAAGCAAAATCCCATGTTCAACATGGCCATCATGTTTCTCCAAAGTTATATTTTTGCCATCACAAAAAGGTCCTTCTCCAATAAAAAGACTTTGAAACTGTTTAAAAGCCAACGCTCTAACACCAGAACTTTACGTGTTATGGTAACTGTTTCCAGCAACATTCCTTATTTTTTAAAAAAAAAAAAAAAAAAAAGTAGTAATTCTAGGCAACAGTCAGTGGTTCTACTGGTACGGACAAGTTTGGCATTCGGATACTTTCATTAATCTGATATACACACAGACATATATACACACAACACAAGTTTAAAGTCAGAGATATATTTGAAGGCTTAATATCTAAGGCAAAAAAATCTAACTTGAACACATGAACAGAGTCACAGAACTGTAAAATGGTGTTAGGTACATCAGTATACGGTGCAATTTCTACAGGAGAAACTCCAGGTACGCTGCCACATACGTTGCCAGGAATCTGAATGACTTTTCTTTTTTGGTGCAACTGATTTGTAATTTTTATTGCATTAAGTAATGGCATATACTACATGATACAATCTTAAAGCCGTAATCTTGTTGTCATAGTACAGGGTCTCTTATTAACAAGTTGTTTGGGCTGTGGGCTTAGAGCAGAGGCCTTCTGGAAACAGTGTCCTTTGTTACCACAACAGACCACTCAACTCTTGTTCCAATGTTTTCTTTTCTCCTCTTCTGCTGCTTTTACACACACATACATTTCCAGTCAGAGAATCACAGCATTTCTGATCACTCTCCACAATATGCTTTACAATTATCCATTTTAGCTTGACTTGATCTATAAGATAACACTCCTGGAAATCAATCACCCTGGTTTTCACTAGACAAGGCTGCTTTAAGAGGTCCTCCATCACTGGCTGTACAGAATCCAGTAACATTTTCATTACAACGCACCCGTGCAAGTGCGTGCCTCTACAATTTGCCAACATCATTCTAAGCCATTCAAATTTCAGAAATGTTCAGCTCTGCATGGTAATTTTAAGACAAGTGCTTCTATCCTGCTATAGATTCACTTATGCCACTGAAAATTAAACTTCACAAGAAGATCATTACACCTTAAGTTGAAAAAGAGAGCTATAACTTGTGTTAAGGGCAGAAAAAGCGGCCAAGTAAAAATAAAGGAAGAAAGGATAGTGAAAGGTGGCTATTTTAGCAACTGGCACTCTGCTTGTAGAAACTGATCTGATCTCAACCTTAGCAGGCCTGATACAGTCTTGCTTTACATTTCTGCACAGCTTAGCAATATAAAAGCTATATATATATATATATATAAACAGACAGACTTGCTAGTCTTGTGTCAATAGAAGTCAGCAGCTTGACAAAATGTTCAGATTAATTCATATTGATCATTATTTCTACACTATGGTATAAAGGTTAAACAACAAAAATCATAACCTTCATTGCACGTTTAATGGACTCGGAAGAAAAAAAAAAATCCATCATTAGCAGCACAGGTCTTTCATCTCCAATTTAAGACTGTCAGGTAGGGGAGATGAGAAGATTTCTGTGTGTTTGAGTACTTTTCTCCTGCTACCATTTACTCAACTAGAAGTAGAAACCCGTGGTGATGGAGTTTCATTCAATTACTATGTACCCGCTGCTTCTGAAGCAGTGCAGCACAACAGCTGCAACACGTTGATGTTGTAACTTTCAGTGTTTCAGGAAGGCTGATCATTGTTACCTTTTAGACAAGTTTTTGTAAATTACACACAGTATCTCTAGAAGGAAGTGTTCTTCCTTAACTCTCCCTGTAAAAACTCAATGCTTCGTAGAAATAAATAAGTCAGTCAAAAATATACAAAAGCTAACGAGAACCAGCATCAGTGGTATTCTCACCCCAGTAGTGCTTCTAAACCAGGAGTTACATTTATTTCTAGCACAGACAACAAGGTAATGTGGAGAAAATCAGCTTATTTTATGATCACTAATGAGGGTTGCGATCTAAGTATCTCCTGAACAAGTTGCTAAACCTGAAACTAGCAGGGTCTAAAAGGAAAACAAAACAACAACTAAGATATCAGAAGAATCACATTACCAATCATAAGCTATCTAATTTGTTTAATTCTAAGGGAAACAAACTTGCAGGAGAGTTAAATCTTCTTATCTGTCAAAATACAGGAATCGGATAGCACAGATATTTAGCATATGCATTATCACTTTAGAGAAGAAAATTCAAACCACACGAATATCACTTAAAGGGAGTGCAATATATTTTACTTACTTTGATCAGCATAGTTTTTTGCTTTTAGTTCAAGTTGTCGAGTTTGTGATTCTAATGCTTCCACTCTGGCCTGTAAGTCCTTTTTCTCTTGTTCTTGAGAATCTTCAAACTCGATGAATTTCTAAACAACAACAACAACAAAATTAAGTTAAACTCAACAATTAATCCCAGATTTTTAATTTTTTTTAAATAAGAAGTCTGAGGAAAGGTGTTTCTCCAAAGAAAAAGAACAGATATTCAGTCATTCCTAGAGTTGTTTCTAAGAAGACTTCCACTTCAAGCAGCGCGTAGGAAACTAAACAGTCCTTCACAGCAAGGAAGGGCACAAGCAGGTTTCCAAACCAAAAGAACAGATCTACAGCCCCACATTTAAACACGAAAGACACCGTTTCAGTCCAGTGACCACCAGCGAAGCATCCCACCTAGGCTGCTCGGTGTAATCGCTATCAATTAAGTGCCAGCTACTTCAGAGAAGCCTGCTTGGGACTAACACAAACATGAATTATTTTGTTCTTTCATAACTTCACACATTTGTCTTCCAACATCGCAAGTAAATACAGAGAGTCCTGGTATCCTTGGGTTTGAGAGAGCCCGGGTGAGGCACGCCTGCACCTCTGCCCCACGGTGGTACCGGCTCTGCAGCACGGATACGCCAGCACTGGGGCCAACCAAACTTACACGTCGCCTTTTCATCCCCACCCAGTTTCTGTCGTTATTTGACAGGTTACAAATGCTCACAGTCTTCACCAAATACTTAAGAGCCACCCCCTACAATCTGTCAACTACACAGAAAACTATTTATGGGCACTCTGCAGTTGACTTTCATCACCTTCTACTACCTTGGCTTACCAACTTGGCGTCTCACAATATTCTAGAGTTCACTGAGGCACATTATCAGTGTTTACATTTTATAACGTTAAAGTTATCAATACACCATTACAGTAGTTATAAAAGCATGCAATTTTGCTATTTATCTTAACCAAAAATGTAAGAAATCCCATATGCACTGGTAGCATGAAGACTGCTTCTAATAGCCCAAGATGTCTTAGGTCATGTAGTTCTCTCTGTTCTGCGCGGCACAGAGAAGGCAAAACCACAGACACAGGGCAGGCAGAAGGCTCACCATACAGGGAGGAGAAGCGTACCAGAAGCCTCTGCAGAAGAAAATCCCCCCACATCGAAGACAGCTAAAGGGTCAGAACGCAAGCTGCAGCTGGGTACCACATGGAAGCAAAGACTTGGAGGAGGCAGAGACTTAAAAACAGTAACACTGTACGTTAGAGGTGATTTGAATATAATTTTTTCCTACTATTGCTAGGAAAACTTGGTGGGGAAAATACTTGATATGCTTACACACCAACTTTGAAGCTACTACAGAGCTTTAGCAAACGTGCCGTATAGCTGTTACAACAACAGAAATTCGTCACCGTATGAAAAGAGCATCAGTTTAGCAGGGTCATCAGTAGAAGTTTTGCTTAAAAATCACTTGAGATGTCGAAAGGCATCAGAACCTATGAAGTGGAACAAGAGATCCTTTCAGACATGCTCTGTGCAGCTATCACAGGACTAGCCATGGGGTTCATATGACCATGCTTGAAGCTAAACCACGAAACAATTGAAAAACATCTGACGGCAACCCAGGTAGCATTGCTTGGGGTTCTGCAATTTAAAATGAGCTCTCCCACCTCAGAAAGAAAGATGAGCAAAAGTCTTTCTACACCCTGAAAGTTTAGGAGCATTAATTTGAAACTTTAAACTTGTTTCATGTCTCCTTTGTAGTAAATGGTGCATGAGGTTTGCCCCTTTTATATTAAAGATTCAAGTCACGTCTGGCTTATCCAGAGCAGACTCCCTTTTTGAAAAGGGCTTCAAAGTTTGGCATAAATTTGAAACTTAGGCTAAAGACCAACATGGTTTGTTAACATAAAACATGGGAAAACATGAAAGAAGAATTGTAAAACTGTAACATCTTTGTTCAGTCACTTCTCTGATGATTTCCGAAAGTCAGACGTGTCTCATAACTTGCAAAAGGGCAGCAACAATTATACTTTTGAATAAACAGCCGTTCAGAGCCATCAATGTCATTGTTACTCAGGAAACTCAAGATGGATATCGTTTGGTACTTCCTCTCAAGTTCAATTGCACATATTAAAATTAGTTTGGTATTAAAGGGTTTTGTTATCTTCCACTAGTTCACCTTCTCTTTTTTCAAGTTACATGTCTTCAAAGCATTTTTATAATTAGAGCTGGGTAACTTTTTTTCTCTGCTGAAAACTATTCCTGAACAAATTCAAGATTGAGTACTTTAGACTTGGAATGTTTCTCTTTGGCTTTATCTTTCCTTCCAGTGATAACAAGGGGAGAACCCCGGGAGATTGATCATCTCGTCATGACTAAGTCCCTATGACTGTGACGGAAGGACTAGTCAGAGAAACCACTACAGCAGCCCAGGACAGGCAGAGCACCCATATTAAAAAGCTTTTTTTATTGGTTACATTGACGACACACTCAAATATTGCATGGTTTAACACAGATGCAGCAGCATAGGTAGGAACACGTTAGCCACTCAATATACGGATACTAGAGATTCTCTTATTTCGACCTGAGCTACTGGTCACACAAAACACCGAGGCACACAAAAAAACCAGCATTCCTCATTTTGAGTGAGGCCCTGTCTAGGCCACAAAGCCATATCTCACAACCCTAACAAGAATTTTTTTTGTGCGGGTTTTTTTTTTTTTTAAGAACATGCTAGAGGACACCAACACGTCTTTAAAATAACCAGACTGAATATCACAAGATTACGGAAGATCTGGGTAGAAGGTCATCTTGTTTCAAGGCTCCGATTCTCAGAAGTGGTGTCTGGATCCTCATTTTGATGAGGACAGAATGATGTGCAAGCACAGGATATGAGGCATGTGCCTACTGCTGAAATCCAAACCTGTGATACCTTCTTAAACTATGTTTGGCAACTCCCATTTAATCCTGCCCATTTTCTCCAGGCAGGATCAACTACATCATTTCAGACAGATGTTTGTCTAACCTGTTCTTAAAGACCTCCAATAAAAAGCATGAAAGAGTACTTCACAAATAAGATTCAGAAGTCTTTATATAAGAAATTTGAAACCTACTTGAATTTTACAGTAATAGTCTTTGCAACAAAAGTGAACTCAAAAACCAGAACAGCAGAGCACACACATTTGGAACCTTCTGATGCATATAACCCTTTAACCACTCAGTAACTCAGCACTAGCCAAATGAAACATGTTTTCCAATATTTATGTCATCTTCAGTTGCCTTATGTTTTAACTTGTTTTCCCGTCACACGATCCAGGTGCAATGCTAAGCGTATCTGATGTCAGGGTTCCACCTCCTTGGCAGGCGTTATCGCCCTGTGACACATCCTTCAGTAACTTTTATTGCACCGATGCCAGCTCTGCAGCCAGTGGGGAGTTCTTCCTGGAGCAGGTAGAGAAAGATGAAATACAAAGCCAGCTCAGCTAGCTAGACTTGGGGCAGGGAAAAACACACATATCTGAAAACAACCTAGTACTTTTACACACTTTCAGCAGCTTTCTGTCTAGTGGATCTCAATTTTGTCCTCTCATCAATTAAAAACAATTAAACTCTTACTGTACAGTGTGTATTTCAGATACAATCCTAAGGAAGAAAGCTAACTCTGGGAACAGGGAGAAAAGGCAGCCATCAAGTTGACACTATTACTTAAACTCATTTTTATGGTGGTAAATCCTTTTTCATGATTGCAAAAGTAGCAACCACGTATTGAGCATCAAATTTCAAGAACAGTTTAATCCCACCAACAGCAAAAAAGCTAAAAGATCCATTAGACAGTTTGACATGTCTGAAAGGAGTAAATTTCATCCTGTTTCCAAGTCACACAAACACCTTCTGCTACGCACACCGCCAGCTATGGAGCAGTGTACTTCTACAGAGGTAAAACTTCTTAGCGTATAAAATAGCAGAACCCCAAATCTTTCTTCCTCTCCCACTTCTTTGTGGCAGGGCACGCTGCCTCACATTCACCAAGCGGGAAGGTAAGTTATGCAGAACTGAAGGCAGAATGGCAGAATAGCTGGTTCCTCTATATTACAAAACGTGTCATCTTAAGAGTCAGACAAGAGACTTCACAGCAACGAAAAAGATTGTGAATGACTTATTTAGAGGACTGAGAAGTACACCCAGAATTTCTGGAATAAACTTTTTTTTTTTAAGTCACCCTAGCAGAAGTCCACAGGTAATAACTTTCAAGATGTTTCTTTAGGAACATTTTTAAGCACAGAAAATAAAGGAGGTGAATTAGGACAATGGTGTAAGGAGATTCCTATTCAAACCGCAAACTATTAACATTCATCAAGAGAATACTGCAAATAATTCATACGATAGCAAGCAGAAAGTAAAAGAAGGCACAGTAATTCTTCAGGACAGTCAGAACAGATAATAAGAAATACTGAACTTAGCTCAGAATTCTCCATTTTGGTATCAGATTATACAACCAAAGAAAAACACTAAGCCAATAACTTGTTGTCCAAGAAAAACAGTGCTATATCCAAGTGCCCTCCTTTCATTGCAACCATACTGCACCCACCAGATCATCACAACATCCTTACAAAAAAATAGTTGTAACCATCAAGTCAGAACAAAACCGGTACCACGAACATACCATGACTTATCTATGACAGACATTTGCACATGTGTACGGCACAACTGACCTCAGCACATAACAAAAACACGCCCTTTGCGCTTACAATTGAAAATACAGTCTTTGATCAAACTGCGCTTTGGAAATCATGGGTAAGTGGTCTTGCAGCACGAGTGCCAGCTTTTAGACTGCATAACACTTGTCCCCTCGGGTTAATTTATCATGACACAAAGAAATAGAGATGGCAGTGAAGTACACTACCAGCATTAGCCTGGACAGCTCCTGAAGACCCACACCACCACAATTAACACCCGATTCTATTTCATCATATTTCTGTTTCTATTCTGCTGCCCAAGGTCTGGTTTTTTCAATATGGCAAATGCTGCCCGTGTTTCAAGCCTGATTGATTTTTCTCATGAATTAGTTCAGAAAATATTTATCAGTCTCTTCCTCTTACTCTC